ATTCATCTTGATTTGCTTTTCTATCACTTTATTTACTGATTATAGCTTATGCATTTGGCCTAGAATAAGAACTGAACCTGATATTTATATCTGCTCAAAGCATGGCCTCAGATTATAGTTACAGCTACATGTATCTTCCATTTCAGTAGTTAAGTTTATTTTGGTTTAATGTTCCTTTTGAGAATTTTTCATTCATATGGAGAGCTTGAGCCCACCAGTTGCCGCTGGAGGGCTGCAAATTTATACTTTTACACTGTATACTCATTACTTAAGGCCATTGAGCAGTGAGGATTTTTTTTCATGCCACCCCCTACATGTACTGCAACTCTAGGGCAGACACTCAAACCAGTCTTTCATCTGTGATAGGACAGTTGAATTTTACAAGACTGAAAAAAACCATATGGATTATCTGTGAGCAAATATAAAAACAAAAGTGGTTTTCTTTGTCACTTTTATTTGTACAAATCTATCTACTTGTACAATACTAGGATGACCTAATTGTTTATAAATATCAAATTTAAACACAATGCATTCTTGCTTCAAAATGTTATGTCAGATGTTAATTAATGTACATTTACTCTAAAATCAAACGCAACACAGATCTTGTCAAACTTTCAAAGCATCACTTGAACACTGAAGGAAATCACCGAAATGTTTTATGCCACCAAGCATTATGTTGATACAACATATCCTCAAAGTCAACATATGAATCTGAAGTCTTCAAAAATACATAACTGATATTATTGAAAATTGATGCTTTTCTCAAACCAGTGCCAGTTCTCTTGAATTCTATATTTATAGAAGTCTATTTATACATGTAGCTTTTTCCAATAATTAGCTTGCCAAAAGATTGATGAACTGAGCTTTAATTGGTATGTGAGGATGGGGTGGGGTGGGTATTTATTCCACAATTCAGCTAAGTAACAGAGGGCTGACTCTTGAAAACAGCAATTTTACATGAAAACTTCAGATACATGTTCAGGTACATATTATTACAAAGAAAAAATAATTACACCTCATTCTGAACATGTTCACAATATAAATACAATGCTAGGCAGATGAAAATGAGTAAACCATAACATCAAGAAAATTTACGTGGTTTACAATTCACCAATCATAGACATGTTTGCATTTTCCTCACAAGGCTGTTAATAAACAGACAATCAACCAATGAAAACTCATATAATAAATGATGTAGAATCAGTGTGTACACAATGTTATAATTTAAATTCCATCTGTACATTCTACATGACCATGGGTCAAACATTAAATTTCACTGCATAGTGAGTATTCACATTTTCCCCAATACAATGTGGATGAAATTCATTTTATCAGCCTGGCAACATTGATGAAATTAACAGCTATTTCTGCCATTTTGTTTCTTCATTTATTCATTTTAAAATTTGCAAGATCATTAGTACCTGATTTTTTTTTAATGAGATCATTTCCACAGAAATCTTATTGGCATAAATTTCTCTTCATTACAAAATTAATTAGCTTAACTATTAATGATATAAAAGATGTTCTCTCTGGTGATCAAAGATTGGAATGTTAACGTCCCCTTTTGACGAATGAATTGATTTTTGGTCTGACAGGAAAAAAAGATCTCAATTTGTTTACAGATATCATAGATAATGTTTCATTAATTTATACTTATTTCCTTAACCAAAAACAATTAATGATTTGGAAATTAAATTCATATAATAAAACAAATTCAAAGGATAAAAAATAAATTTCTCATTAACTGAAATCTTAATTGTCTTCTATATCTTCTCCTAATTCTTTACATTAGAAAATCAGCTTACAACATTTTAAACCTTTTTAACTGACATAAACATTATCAAAGTCAACACTTGATTCATATGTGTATTGTCCTATGACATTTTTCATTCATAAAAACATTCTAACACAAAAATCAGAATAAAACAGTTAATACAATGACTAGTTACATTTCACAATGGCTTGTAAAACAAAAAAATGTTTACATTGCTTGTGAAAAAAAAAATTTATCAAATTTCCTGTTGCCTGACAGAATTCTAAAGGAATAAAAATAAATATCAAGTGAAGATTATTTACATGATGTTGGTTATTTAAATAAAATCTGCACAGAAAGCATATTAGATGTTAGATATAAATTAAAGTAAATCAAGCCAATCAATTTGCATGAGCTACATTTTGAGCAGAGAGCCATTGGAGTCAGGATAGGGGTCAAAGGTCAACTTTGGGTTCAAAGTTCAACTTTTCTTTTTTTCTTTAACTTATCATCCTGTGACATACAATGTATAATTCCAATAAAAAAAAACTATTTTTCATTACATCTATATACAATACATACAGCTTGGCAATTTTTATGGGAGAGTAACCATGGTAACAGCTTAATATCTTTGTACAAAGAAAAAACAGAACATAAATATTTCAGGAAACAATCAACAGTCAAAGCTAGACACCTAGGGGTCACTAGCAAGCAGGTCAAGGTCATTGTATATATACAAACAAACACATGTACCAAGTGTGCATGCAACAACAGAAAATACAGCCAATAACAGTTTGACCTTGACCTTTAAGCTTAGAAGGAGGATTATTGAATTCTTATGTACAAAAGAAGGTCAACATTCTCACCTTCCACAAATTGACCTTGAGAATGCTAGGCATGTTCACACAAGAGTCTCATTTTAGCTTCACCTATTAATCTACATTGTGCACATAAGTTCTCTTATATTGGAATACTGATATGTTTTTTTGTTCCGATAAGTTGCACATAAAAGAGTGTCCTCCATTTAAATGATGGAATATGAACAATGATCTATTCACAAAATATCACCGTTTGTAAAATGCTGTCAAAAATGTTCTCATCACTAATCAATGTTCATCAACATTGATAAAAAAATGTATAAATATGTTGTTGTTTTTTCAAGTGATGTCAACATTTGTTCATAAAACATTCACTCAAATTTTGATTATTATATAAACCATGCCTCGTTTGATATTTTGAACATTTTTTTCTCAGCAATGATTTCTTCCTTATCATTCTGCACACATACAATGATGGACAATATGCATTTTTCACTCTCATTACTATTAACTCGTGGTACATCTTAAGCACTAGTCATTTTCAATTTACATGTTGCTTTCCCACATACTAAGCATGATCACAAATCATACAATAAAATGAAGTCATGGGATATCACCAATAGTAATGAATTCTCAGTTGTTCAAATGTTTTGACATCTATTTCTTAGAAGGAGATGTCAATTTAAACATTTACTCCATGAAAAACCTGAGAATGCTTGTGCTAAGGGGGGTAGCTAAGTAACCCCAGAGTAAAATGTCATGTATTGCTAATGCATCTCGCACAATTGTAAACAATATTTTCCTGAACAAGCCAACCTTCAAGAGTATCTGAATGCTATTTTTGAAACGAATGCAAAATCAGTCTGCATTTTGAAGCACTAATAAAACTTAACATCCCTTAATTTTTACATATATTGTTTATGTTAATTATTGAAAACTTTAATATCAGGCTTGAGCACTGCTCAATTCATACCAAATGAAATAAAAAAAGAAGTTAGGACTAGCAATTTTCATTATACTGACATTAATTTGATTTTTTTCAAAGAATACAAGGAAAGTTTAGTACCAGTTCTCAATTTTTTTTAAAAGTTTAGTTTACCTCTACTAATATAACAAAATTAATTTCACACATCTTTAGGACACATTTTTTTTTTACTTTACTTGAAAAAATAAAATTATGCTTGATGCTACTAAGTTCAATGATTGAGAGCATGGTTTTCAGAATCTCTGATGATCATAACCTTCCAATACATTGGCAGAACAGGCAAGAAAAGGAATATTGGGAATTTTGGGGGCTGCTGACAAAACTGAATCCCTGTGGCTTTCAATTTTGAAAAGCTACTGTAAAACTAGCTTTTATTTGGGTGCAAGTTTTGCAACCTTCTTTAACTCTGGAATATTATTTGCCATAAACCATTTTCTTTGCTGTGATTTTGTACAGAATGTTTTCCCATGTCGCTAAAATTAATTGTTACAGATTAATTTTACATTGCTTAATGGAGAATAAAAGACGAAGCGAATAAAATACATGGTAGTTTACAGTGACCAATGTGTACCTCTCCCTCCCCCAATGCATGGTTACTGTGTCCCATTGTTTAGAAATTGGCCAGATTAGACAATACATGTATTCTCTAGATTAAGTAACAATATAAACAACTGAAATAGCCGATAAAGACTAAAATTTTAAAAGGAAGTAAGGCAGTATTTCAGAATTTACACAAGTGCAGATTAGACAAGTGTCACTGTTATCACAAAAAAACAGGCAACCAAACCCCCCCCCCCACCCCCCCACTCTCGTTCACAGAAAAAGTTTCCAATATCAGTAAGATATGCAAAACTTAACTTGCAGATATCTGCTCTTGGATAGGTCCTTTAGCCAAAAATAGGTTAGATCTGTAGCCACGACAAGTTAACAAATTCATCACTGGGATTCAAAAATCCATCAGGTGCCTCGAAAATTCCCATAACCTCTTCCTCATTCAGGAATTTTCACATGATAAAGCACGCTCTCTGTTATATGTGGGGTTTTTTTATGCATTGGAATTTTTAAAACCCCTGCTTGTAAATAAATATTAAGATATTTCCCTGAGAAAATATACAATACGTATAAATATTGTATTTTATAATCTGTACCACAATTAACTTATTTTAAGCCATATATTAGCAAAATGAGCAGTTTTGTACCTAATACTCTTGAAAAAATATAAATTATAATCGTGTACTCTACATATGACTAACCCTCAAAAGGCATGAAAATCCTTCTAAAACATACTTTTTCAAATAATTCATTTGAATTATTCTATTACTTTTTTTTCCAAAAAAAAATCATCTGCAACTGTAAACAATATATTTTTTCCCCATGTAAAAATTCATCAAATTAACATTTAATTTATGCTTAGATTTGTGAATTTCTCTTTTGAATCAGTTAAGGAAAATTAAAATACAGTTAAGGCATTTCTTTTCAAAGAAAATTAACAAGACTTTTGATACATTTCAAATGATGCAAAAGTATATATACAATACAAAGAAGGCTAGACTAACTAATTTTCTTAATTATTCATTAAATTAATAAATAAGTTATGTAGAGTGCAGAGGTAGATGGGAATTCTTGTTTTTTTTTTTTTTTGTTGAAAGAGTATACTGGTTGATACTTTTAATACTTTTTTATATACATCAAGGTTGAACTTCCTTACCAGATTATTTTAAATAAATCTATTTTTAGCAATCTTATATTATTTCTTAATGTATGCTGGTCAGTTTAAACTTTTAAAAAATTAATTTAAATGTTGTATCCCACCCAACAGTAACTTTCAATCAGCTGGTGAATTTCATCGGTAGAAAATTAATTTATACGCATGAAAAAATCAGACAAAAAATAATTGTAAATGATGGAATAATATTATATTGAAAGTAAAACATTTAGAAGGAATGTTGTATTTGCATATTGTCAGCTTTTTTTTACTCTGTTTCACAGCACTTTTTGAATTGACTTTTTGCAAAAATACATTAAATTTTAAATGCCATAACTTAAAAAATCAGAGCACTCACTTTTGTATTTTCTGACCTATAGATGTCCGTGCAGTATCAAAATCAAAAATATCTTAACTAATTCGGCTAAAAAAATCACACAAATTCCATTACATTTCAGTCTACCAACAAAAATCTTCTCAAAAATATTGACATAAATTCTTATAATTACTTTGATTCTCCAGTAATTATATAGCAATTTGAGATCCTCAAGGAAAGAAAAAAAAATACATATATTGCAATCAAAACCTTTTTTCTGGTTGCCCAGAACAACCACAAAAAAAAACTGTCATGAAAATACATGCATCACAGGATTCTCTATAAGGAGTCTGTAATATTTGCACTTTGGGGAACTTAGTTGATGTGATGTCATTTCCTGTGTGATGTCACTTCCTGCGGTGTTTGCGGCGCCGGTTGTGGCGGTAGATGGAGGAGTGGAGGTTGGCCGCCGTCGGATGAGGTAGTCGCTTGAGAGGGATGGTGCACATCTGAAAATTCTCCAACTCCTTCTCTGCAACCCAGCAGTCTGGTATTCTAAAGAAGAAAAGTGAAAGTAGCTTTATAAGTATGCAAAGCAAAGAGACAAATTTAGAAAATTGTAACCCCAAAAAGGTCATATTAATTAAGGTGCTATGATCAATGAAAAGAATTGTAATTGTTTTGTTTGCATTTTCATTGTGCATAAAAAAGTTATATAATTTTGAAAAAAGAGTCTTAACTGCACTTTTGTATTACAAATTTCTGTGTTAAAATTTGTGATTATTTTCATAGTGTAGGTATATCTGACACCATACAAGGGACTTCTAAAGTATTTCCCATTGCCTGAGCCATTTGAACAGCCTTTACATAGGACTTACACATGCTCTGGCTGCCAGTGAAGAAGGGCTTGGACTTTCCCATTGCGATCAGTTCTCTTTGCTATAACCTACAAAGACAATTATTCAATCTTCATCACTTGTATACAGAGAAATTGTATCGAGAGTCAAAGTCTATTACTGCTACATTCAATGTATGGATACATTTATTTTATTCTTAAGGTTATATTGCAATAGTGGAAGGTAAAAAGGCATGTTCCAGTGGAATTGTGGGTATTTGTACATTGTGAGCCATTTTACATGGTAAAATAATTTGTTAATTAGATGACTTACTTGGCTGTGGAATGTGGCGGAGTGGGAGTGAGATGACTTACTTGGTTGTGGAATGTGGCGGAGTGGGATTGAGATGACTTACTTGGCTGTGGAATGTGGCGGAGTGGGAGTGAGAGGACTTACTTGGTTGTGGAATGTGGCGGAGTGGGATTGAGATGACTTACTTGGCTGTGGAATGTGGTGGAGTGGGAGTGAGAGGACTTACTTGGTTGTGGAATGTGGCGGAGTGGGATTGAGATGACTTACTTGGCTGTGGAATGTGGCGGAGTGGGAGTGAGAGGACTTACTTGGTTGTGGAATGTGGCGGAGTGGGATTGAGATGACTTACTTGGCTGTGGAATGTGGCGGAGTGGGAGTGAGAGGACTTACTTGGTTGTGGAATGTGGCGGAGTGGGATTGAGATGACTTACTTGGCTGTGGAATGTGGCGGAGTGGGAATGAGAGGACTTACTTGGCTGTGGAATGTGGCGGAGTGGGAGCTGCCGTTGAGATCAATGTGTGAGAGTTCTGTCGTGTGGGTCAGGTCCTCCTGTATCCTCTCCATTATACCATCATCAAAAAAATCCACCTGCTTCACTGAAAAAAAAAAACAACACACATACAGTAAATGAAATAGTTTAGGGAGTGAATTCTCTCATTATACCATCATCTAAAAAATCCACCTGTTTCACTGAAAAAAAACAAACAAACAAACAATGAAGCAGGCCAGGGATTTTATTAACTGGAATAATATGTAGCCCTCTCCTTTTTTTCTAGGGAGGAAATATCAGATACAATAAATAGGAGAGGGCTATATATGAATGCTGCTAGGATTTTTCATTTAAATAAAATTCTTACTGGACAATTGTATTTGTTAAGTTTGGATCCCTTCTTTGCATTTTTCATCAGGTTGATCGATCAGTAAGAATCTTTTGTGCATTCAAGATTTTAACTAAAATTAAATAGCTGTCTTCATGTATGCAAGTATGGAAGTTGCCTCCCTTTAACTGCATGTAGTTGCACAAAACTAGATTTTTATGGCTTATATGTAGTTCTATACAGTGCACTTGTTAGTGTAAACTGTGGTCTTTCAAGATAAAAAAAAATATATAGAATTTCATGACATATAATTAATTAAAAGATATACATTGTAGCAAGGGAAGGGAAAGATCTGAATAAAATGAAACATTTGTGAAAATACAGTGGATATTTGTTCACATTTGTTATCTCATGGAAACAGATCAATCAATCATTCAGCTGAAAAAAAACTATATCAGCTACTGAAAATACACAAACGCACATTAAATTTATTCTGTGTGTCTTTGTTCATGTACAATATGCTTTAGTCAAGCGCTACATAAAATTGAAACCATTGGAAAAAAAAAATTACTCAATTGAATTTGAATTTTATTTCTTGTACCTAATAATCCCAAGAACTCTACTTAATTTTAGTAAAATAAAAAAAACAAGCCCCCCCCCCCCCAAAGGGACAAACACATCAGTACATCAAGTTCATTCCTTGTTTATCTGTAAGTTCTTAAATAAAGAAAGTCCATGATTTCTGGTTTTAATTATTATGCCTTCAACATTATCAGAAGAGATAAAACGATCCAAAAATTATATGGGTTTGTATAGACACAATCTACAAAAAATTGTTTAATCTGAATAATTTTTACCCATACTGACATAAATTCTGGAGTAAATGGTCTAATTAGCCCCCCTCTCCTCTCTATCTAATTTAAATGAAGTAGAAATGAGTAGAAAATCATCTCTTTTTCCCCATCTAATAAATCTGTTTTCAAATGACGATCATGAACCCTTTATATGAGTCAATAAAGAAAATATCTCGAAGCATGAAAAATCCATACAAAGGACAAGCAATTTTTTTTAAACCTAATTCATTCATAAAATTTTCATGACATAAAAACCACCCATGGAATATTGTCCTAAAAGTCAGCTAGTATATCATATTTCATATCTTTCAGACTGAAGGGGGAAAATCTAAATGATCTATCACACTTATATTACAACCGACTTGATAAAGCTAGAATTGTAGAGAAAATATCATTTGAATATTGAAGTCTTGAAATTCATTCATATAGTATTGAAAACTTGAAACTTGTTTCCTACAAATTTAATTTTAAAATTGGTCATTAATATCATTACATGGTATGTAAACATGCAATTCTAGCACCTATGATTTCAAAGTACCAGGTACAATTGTTTTGACTTCTACACCTCTGGGATTTTACAATCAACCTATATTTTTTATCCAGACTCCAGAGGGTAGGGTGGGGGTGGGGACAATAATTATGGGCTACCTATTTTTTTTAAGCATTTAATTTATGATGTAATATTGTAAAAGTGGGTGTTAAGGAGAGAGCATATTTATCAATTATAGCAGTTGGAATCCTGCTTCACATACATTATTCATCTAGTACATGCAGTCTCTGAGCATGTATGTATACATAAATCCTACAAGTATTATTGTATACACTTATAAACAGTAGCAGGTGCCTGTCTATCCCCATCATTGCACGGCTAATATTTTGGCACCATTTTTTCTATGAATTATTTTTTTTTGGTTTCAGAGAATCTGGGATATATTACATAACAACGGAAGCTTACACTGCAGAAAATAAACATGGCTCCCCAGTGTATTTATAAACCACTAGCAAGATACATTGTTGGGGGATGTCTGAATTTCACATATTTTAATGTACACAGAGGGAAATAATACTATTTTGCCTACACAAGGTGTGGGTTGATTGTGTAACATGACCTTGATAAATCTGTTATAAATAAATCAAGCAATACTGACACAGAAGTGGGTGCAACTGTTATCGATTTTGTTGTTTGAATTTTTATGCGCCCGGATCGATAGATCCGGGACGTATACTGTTTTTGTCCTGTCTGTTTGTTTGTCTGTAAACTTTAACCTTCGCCATAACTTTTAAACCATGAAAGGTAGAGACTTCATATTTGGTATGCATACTCCACCAATAAGTTCTTTCAAATGACACCAAGGTCAATTACCTTGTGACCTTGACTGTGACCTATTTGCTAAAAATAGCTTTTTCGAATTTTCGCCATAACTTTTGAACCATGAGAGATGGAGACTTTCATATTTGATATGCATACTCCACCAATGACGCTCTTTCAAATGACTCCAAGGTCAATGACCTTGTGACCTTGACTGTGACATTTATGCTAAAAATAGATTTTACAAACTTTCTCCATAACTTTTGAACCATGACAGATAGAGACTTCATATTTGGTGTGCATACTCCACTAATGAAGTTTTTCAAATGACACCAAGGTCAATGACCTTGTGACCTTGACTTATCTTCTGTAAATATTTTTTTTAACTTTGTTGCCGTCGGGCGCATAGTGTTTCAAAAACACATCTTGTTTTTTTTACCAAAATGATGGCAGATATGAATTAAAATACATGGAGACTCTGAATGAAAAAAAAAATTGATACAAAGACTTTTCATTTAGCTTCCTGACTAGAAGTATTGGAGCAGTGCTTGTATATATGCATCATGTGAAAATAAAATTCTCTTTTGAAAGGCCATGCATCAATCATAACAAATTTATACATTATTTTTAAAAAAAAAAATTTGAATTGTCAATTTTAATTTACTTCTATCCTAGACCCCAAAATTTGCACATAATGCATGTAGAATGTCATCTAATTCTTTTATAAGTTTATAATCCTTAATATATAACCTGACCTTGACCTGGCATGAACCTTGACATTGACCTCTATAATACATGTAATATTAACTTTTCAACTACTAATTATTAATAAAATCATGATTATGGCCATTTTGTACAATAATTGATTCAGAAACAGATTATGCTTCTAATAAATAGAAATTAAGGTACATCTTCACAATTTCACCATTCTTTCATGTTTGTCATTTTCATACTTAATTTTCACTTTTTAAACTAATTAAATACAAAATAATTCCCTTTAAAATGGGAGACATAAACCATGTTATTGTAAAAGTAATTTTTCAGTGGCTCTCTCAAAATCAGACAGACCATATAAAACATGATAGGATGGCAGTTTTGACACATTTATATGGGCATTCAACTTCAGAGCTTCATTTCCATTCTGGCTTAGACATGAATCTTTATATATGACAATTAATCGGCCACAGTCCAAGAATATTTAGGTATATTTTTCTCCATGATACATCTTTTATACTCCAAATGTTTTATTATGCAGGGGATTTTTTTTGGAGGGGGGGGGGTAAGTTTTCTAAAGTTAGAAATATTATCTAAGTAAAACTAGGTTGTTCTCAGAGTATTTTAAGAATTGTACTTAGTATTTAAATGAAATTTCAACTTCTGGGCATGAATAAATACTTTTATTATTGTAAATGAATTATCTATATTTTATACAGCATTTGTCTGTGTCAAACTAGAGTAACCTCATACCCACCACCCCACCCACCCCCAAATATGGTGGAATATTGGATATGCACTTTTTTGTCTCCAGTTAAATTTATAGGCCTCCCATGAGTTTTAACATATAACCGTGAGCTTCAACTTGCAGAAATGACCTTGAGTCAAGGTCATGACACACCCTCAATTTATGAGCAATCTGCGTATGACATAGTTATGAGCTTTCAACTACACTTCAATGCTAATTTTACTTATACTATAATGCTTTTTCTGAAATCGACCTTGAACTTTTCATGCATTTGCACACTTTTTTTTAGGCTTTTGAAAAGGTAAAGATGGGTAATCTTGAGTTTTGTACATATTAAATACATATATATAAATATATACAGTTTATGGATCCACTCCAGCAAAATATTGCAAACAAGGTGTGATTTGTACATGGATACAATGATGTTGATAAGGAGTTTATGGATCCACTCCTGTAAAATACCTGACATAAATATTAAGACTTCATTGAATCTGACCCCGTGAAATACGTACCCCCAGGAGGCCGACTTCGACGACACTTCCTCCGTTTCCACATCTTGGTGGGCGTGTCCTCGCGTGACTTGGCCTGCCTGGGACCCTGCACCTGCTGTAACTTGAAATGATTGTTAACATGCTTCTCCAATAACTTATGTGACGTAAAACTCAAAGAACACCCATCCACAATGCATCGGAAGGGCTTGTCGCCACAATGACACACCACGTGGTGTTCGAGCCACGCTCGTGATTTGGACTGTACACTATACACCTTACACCCTTCCCACAGGCATGAGACTTTTTTCCCTTTCTGAGAATCCACATGTTTTGACTTGATGTGTTCTAAGATTCCGTGCGGTTCGAAGTCTTCACATTCACAGTCTTTCCACTTGCATGTCAAAGGCGGAGGGGGTGTGTCCTTGCATTCACATTGCGAGCTGTCAGCTGAGCGGGAATCCTTACTGATGGGGCTCAGCAAGCAGCTCATGGAGGAAGGTGTACATGAGCGCGAGTTGTCAGGGGTAACCGAGCAGCCTCCGTCGTGCGTCAGCGGTGAGGCGTCGAGCGATCCCTCGCTGGAACATGTCGCCACGCTGTCTTGTCGCGTGGTGTCAGGCATGCAGACACTCTCCATGACATGTGGCATCTCTTCATCGCTGAAACTGAAAAAAAAGAGAAAATTAAAATTATAAGTTAATCTGATTAACAATTTATAGTAATGCAAAAATATTACTAAAATAGACATCCCCATACCCCAAAAGAATCGGCTTTAAAACATTCAAGTACTTCTCCACAAATATGTTCAAAGAGGATTAATCAATGATTATAAAATATAAAACAACTTGAAATTGACTTATTTTATTATCATGTTACTTTTATTAAAATCAAAGAAGACCATGGATACATGTAATAATCAATAAACATTTTAAAAATTTGCCTTCCTTACTTAAAATATTTGAAATGCCATCGACATGATCAATGTAGAATATCCTATCTTCCCTTGAAAATTTTATCACTGATATATAAATTATGCAAGTAATATTCTAGAAATCTATCTATATATACTATTAATCTGCTCGCAAATGTTAAGCATGTCACATGCAACCTGTCACATGACATTGTTGCCATGACATTAATGTCAAAAGTGACCTCTTGTCATCAAATTTAATTGTTGAACTAAACAGATTGTGATATCACATATCTACCATGTAATTTTAAGCTGTATTACTTACAGAAAGATAATAATATTTCAGATAAATTTAGAATCTAGATTACGTATCATATAATGGTATTAGAAACTTTAACTCGAGTACCAACATTACAGTTTGGGAAACAGCAAATGAATACACTTTTCTTTATGTTGACAGGCCCCACATGGCATTCACAGCCAGAACAATACATGTCAAAATATCGCAGTTTTAACCAGCTGCTCCCATTGTGATGATTGGTCCTGTTTATAACGCAGCTATTTTTGGAGAAAACAGGTGAAAATCTTCAGAAATTCATGAAATTCGTCAGGTTTTCAGACATCTTCCTCAATGGGACCCGCGTACCTGATTCATTGAACGTCATAGTCTTAAGTAATAGAAGCTCGATCTCAACAATGATGCTACTACATCATGCATTTATGTAACATTTAAGAGTGCATGCAGTTTTTGAAATAACAATTTGAGATTCAATAGTCCAGGAAAAATCACACAAATGCAATATATATATATTTAAAAAGTCTTTCAGATATTTTCTTCAAAATGAGGATTAGGACATTTTTGTTTTAAATTAATAAGTGTATGTAAATATTTTGGTATAATTGTTTCAACTACAAGAGGTTCTGTACATAAGAAAAGAAAAACCCTGTCCTAGCTCCACTTAATTCATGTCAAGAAATCAGAAATTTTATATTCAAGGTCAAAAGAAAGGTCAAGGACAGAGTTTGACAAACTTGAAGAGCTCTCATGAAGATGAAAAAAATCGATACATCATCAAATGTGTCCCAATTTCGAAAATCCTTTTTAAACAAATTACTCTGGGCTGGTAGCTATATACATGTATCAGCTTATTCTTCTAGCCCCACATTTTCCTTGTAATAGTAATGTCAAAATATAGAAGCTTTGGGGGTGGGGGTGAGGTGAGTGAGGGTGGGAGGGGGGGGGGGGGGAATAATTAAGAGCTGGAGGAATCTTGGACTACATGAACTTATTCTTAGGTGCCTCTCATTCCTACTGGCGAATAAACATAGGTAATCAGAGATTACAGAGCTCACCTCAACGAATGTAAATGTCTTTAAGTAAGGCAAAGTCACACAATTAACAAAAAACAAAGTGTACATTCCAAAAATGAAAATATTTAAGCAATTTTGATCTGATACTTTGAAATAGACCTACATAAAAAATTTAAACTAGTTCTTCTTAATGAAAATGTAATCAAAATCCAGCATCTGAAGCAAATTTGAGATTTTCATCTCTTGATGCAACATTTGTGCAAGTTCGGTTTATACTATGTTATATGAGCCTTATAGGTTTTTGGTAATAGACCTGCAACCATAACTTTTACCTGGTCTATTATCTGAAAAATGTATGTCAAATTCAGCATCCGAAGCAAGTCCATTAGTGTGCATCCTAAGATGTATCGTCCATGCAAGTTTGCTCATTATAGGGCTCATAGTTAATTGGAAATGAAACATGTATTAAAAACTAACATTTTCAGTCATCCACAAAAAGTAGGTCAGATTCAGCATCTGAAGCAAGCCTGGTAGTATGCATCCTTAGATGTATCATCCATGCAAGATTGGTCAACACAGGACTTATAGTTACTTGGAAATGAAACCTGCACCAAAAACTTTAACCTGTTCACTCAACCAGAAAATGTAGGTCAGATTCAGCATCCGAAGCAAGCCCAGTAGTGTGCATCCTTAGATGTATCATCCATGCAAGTTTGGTCAACATAGGGCTTAAAGTTACTTGCAAATGAAACCTGCACCAAAAACTTTAACCTGTTCACTCAACTGGAAAATGTAGGTCAGATTCAGCATCCGAAGCAAGCCTGGTAGTATCCATCCTTAGATGTATCATCCATGCAAGTTTGGTCAACATAGGACTTATAGTTACTTGGAAATGAAACCTGCACCAAAAACTTTAACCTGTTCACTCAACCGGAAAATGTAGGTCAGATTCAGCATCCGAAGCAAGCCCGGTAGTATGCATCCTTAGATGTATCATCCATGCAAGTTTGGTCAACATAGGGCTTATAGTAACTTGGAAATGAAATCTACACCAAAAACTGCACCAAAAATGTTAACCTGCTCCAAAAACATTAACCTGGTCATTCCTTTGCTGAAACTGCAGCATCTGAAACTTTGAATGGTACAATGAAACACAGTAGAACCATCTTCCATGCATGTCTAATCAATATAGGACATAAAAGTACTTAAAAAGAAAACTGCTCCAAAAAACTTAACCTTAACCTGGGACGCCGACGCCGAGGGTATTACATAAGCTCCCCCAACTTCGTTGAGGTGAGCTAAAAATACTGACAATCTAAAGATGGGTATGATCCAAGGATTTACTTGCACTGGTCACAACCAAGACAAAACAAATGAAATTAACATTCACTGCATGCATTCATCCATTCAAACTTAATTAATCTTAACTACACAAGCTCTATGAAGTGCACTTGTTACAGAAAAGGTTTTTTTTTTATTCCAATTCATAATTTGTCAATGCACTAGACCCCCCATAAAAAATCCTGTCCATTGAAATTATCATAAAACTGTGTAACCTGACAAAACTTCCAAGCGTTACAATAAGAGGACGGGGCGAGGATTCCACCGAGTGCAGATGGTGACCCCCTGGTGTTGACCTATGGATTTCAATGAAAGCTCACTGTCAATGCAGTTGACAGCTTAATCCTCTGTCAATGGAAGACCCACTGGCAGTGTAAGGACATGAGACGGCCTCCCTCCCCAGATTTTCTGTTGTTCGAGGCGAATTAAACAATTCATTTCTGATTCTACACTGTACTGATCTGCACTGTCTCTATCTGCATTTTCCATCCTTTCACAATTCAAGTTGAAAACTATCTTCAATTTCATACATGGGCTTGAGAATTTAACAGAATTTTTATTAATAAAACGAAGATATTCATACACTGACTTCTGTTCTCTCGCTATACCAATAATGTCTTATCTATTATTAAAAATATGAAATGTCAGGTTTAATGTCAGACTATCAGACCATAAAATATTTGTTCAAGTTTCATCCAGAATTTTACGTGAATGAAAACATCTGATTGAAGCAATTTTAGATTCTTGCCCTTGATCTACTCAAAACCCATACTGAGCTACAAATAACTATGCCACAAAATAAGTAATTATAACCATTCAGTTTCTATAACAACAAAATAGCTGACTAACTAACAAACTACACCCTAATAAAATACGTAAATCCATGATTTCATGATGCAAAATAAAAAAAAAAAAAAAACTCCCTAAAGGCATGAAATTCAAATCCTCCTCCACTCTCAATTCGATTCAAAGAAACTAGGTTTCATTTATTTAATAGGACACAGAATACTGCACTGCAGCATGCAATCTTCAATGGAATCCTCGATCTTTCATCTTATTTCTACACCTGATGGCCTATTTCTAAAACCAATTATTGAACATGTAATTTGTACAACCATTAATATACAAAAGGAAACTTTGATCTAAATAATTGTAAAATTTTGTATAATTCTCTTTGCTTAAATTTAAAAGCTCAAAAATGACACCCCCTCCCCCCACCCTTTCCTGCTAATTTTTCGATAACACTTTAAAAATACAAAGCTTGTATATATATATGCGTATCTAGAAATTCTTTTTTCCTCCAAAAATTCATTTAGGGTGAAAAAAGAAATGAATTGATCTACTCAGAAACAATTTTAATTTCTTATGAGAGCAAAAATTTAGTATGAATTCATTATAAACATAACTTCGTTGCAAATCGTCAAAGAGCTGACTGCTTTTAAGACATTAAATATGCTTTGTCATTTTCAGTCTTGATAATTATCTGAACCATGTCATAATGTTGTTCGGTTATGTAATATCAGACACTTTGAATTTTCCCTGTACATTAAGAAAACTGATATTTCATCCCGAATTTGTCTTTGCATGGTTTCATGTATCCAACCTTCACCCAGAAAACTTCTAAACTATCTTGAAATTGTGCTGAGCATGACAATGTCAGGAAAGGCAATTTATCTATTTCCGATACTGTAAAATCACAGATTTTCGTGGGGTCAAATATTTGTGGTTTGAGGAAAAACTCATGTGTCATAAGAATTTGATTGCATGGATTCCTGAGGAGGAAGAAAGAGAGGTGGGTTGGGGGTGCTAAATTAAACCGTTGGCTAGAAAAGATGAGAATCTACTAACAATCATTTTCATCAAGAGAGATATTTTCAGCTATTTGCATCAACTCCCCTGATCTATATGGATGAGAATTAAGGCATATTTTCATTTTCTTATTTTTACCTTTTGACTCCATTTTTCCTGGAGAACAAATCTTGGACACAAGGCAGCTGACAGGCTATCTTTTCTTCTGTTACACACCTACAAAATACAACAACACAATTCATCAATGAGTGCATGAAGTTTTGAAAAAATGAACATTATACAGTCAAACCCCATTGGCCAATGATTAAAAATAGATGGGGCTGAGAGAAAAAAACACTTTGAGATAAAAGTGAATTAAAGATAACATTAAGAAAGTCTGACTATGAATAAAAGGGAAATAACTCTTATTATAAGGTTTAAATACACACAGAACTGAAACTAAATGGAGCATAACACAAGTATTTTAAATCAAATACACCGTTTCCAGGAAGTTTACTAATCCGTCGGATATTTTGGACTAGAATTTTACTTGTCTGATAATATGAATTTGAAGCATGTCAAATGCCAATGAACAGATTTTTCAAAATGGCACATTTAATAAGTTGGCAGTACTTGGCACATGTATATAGTTTATACAGGGATACTCCAAAAAATCCTACTCAAACTTCCAAAAAAAAGTATCAACACCAATTCTTTTTTTAAAAATATATATCTAATCCATAATCTCAGGAAAAAGAACAACCAACGCTCCCTTTTCACCTTCTCAAGTTATATAACTTCCTTTAGGAATGGTATAACTAGTACCAATAAACTTCAATCAGTTGTCTGTACCAGAAATCCACTTGGAATTGAACAAGGATTAGAAAGATAAAATAGAAACCTCAGCAGTATATTTATAGTATACATATCTATCTTCAGAGTGCAGCAGAACGTGCTGCTAATCAATCTAAAACTAAAATCCCGAACTTTCACAAGATCACAGAAAATATAGTGTTTCCTCAGAGTAAAAGGTTTTTGCCTGATAATACATCAACTGTTTTTATCGTTATTTAAATTAGATATGTTTAAAACATTGCGTTAAGTCATTCCAGGATGTCTTTTTTATAATACTTTTTGTTAAATTTTAAGTTAAGTAGCTGTGAAATAAAAATTGTCAATAAATCAAACTTAATTAATATATCACATTTATCAATATCAGCATGATTATATATTAAGTATCAAAAAAGCTTTTGAGAGCTTTAGAGTATCATTTTATGAACAACATTAAATGACCATAAAACAAAATTAAATGACTTCAGAACATCTAAACATAAAATCTTGATTCATCAATATTCAACTGAAAAATTATTAAATACCCTTGCATATTTCCGAACGAAATTCCCCAGTTATATGGGTCCATATTGAATAAAGAATAGTCCACTCCAAACATAATTGTTCGGTAACCTTTGGACCAAGAAAAAGTACTTTTCAACCAAAAAAGATGTGTTACAGTCCTTTCATTACTAAATATATTAAGCGCACACATATACAGAAGCATATATATATTTTGTGTGTGGGTGCAAATATCACATGTCGTAGGTGACGTCTGCTAAATATATATGCCATGTCAGTCGAGATGGTTTTAAAAAAAAAAGTTTGATGACGCGCATTAATACTTTGTGAAAATGACAACAGTCGATACATAATTTACTGCAATACCCACACAAAGATCATAGCGGATTCAATCTATTTGTTATCACATCATACTACTTATATAACCTGAGATATTGATTTTTTTTTTTAAAGTATACACTGAGTGCAAAAAATGACATATGTATTACAATTACGCAAGCAGATGAATTTAAAGATTAGTTCACATCAAGGGATTATGCTCAATTGTCTTTAAAAAAATCAATTCTGAAAAATTATCAATTCATCTTTTAAGTCCATCAAAATCTGCTGTCTTCTTTTCTCTTAATTTTTTTCTTTTCATATATTAAATACATTCTCATGCAACACATTTTTAGGTTAAAACATTCCATCTCACAAATCCAAAGTTTTTTTTTCCCAAATAAAGACTTTGATGAATTAATTTATGAAGAATTTCCCTGGGGATCATAAATCTATCATTTAAAATAAGTGGCCAGCATGGCACAGTGGTTAAAGCATCTGCTCAAGAGTTTCAGTGATCCTCTGATGTTGTAGGTTCAAATCTCACTGCTTGGACCCAGAGATCAGTCCTTCGCATGAGACCATATATAAACAGAGATCCTGTAAATTGCAGTAGGTTCTGGCAAGAAAAAGAATTCCCTTAATGCTCAATGGTCCAAAGTGCCATAACACTCAGTCTATAGGTATGAATGAAAAATTCTAGAAGGGACATTTAAAACCAAACAAACAATTTTTAGAGAGAAGTAAATTTTTCTGTGTCTGATATATGCATGTAATTATCAGCATGTACACAGCTTTGACATTGTCGAGAAAGCAGTGATACTGGAGTTGCATTAAAACCACAAACCACAAGTATATTGGAGCAGCTAGTTTGTTTTCCTGGAAACTGCATACACTATAAAACTTAACTCTATTTTTACTTTCATAATAAACATACATTCCAGTAATTCACAGTTTTGAAATAATGATCTAGATCTTTTCCTGCTTTCTGTCAAGAAAGTGTGAGACTTTTCACTTCCTTAAATGCTTGGGAAGTTCTAAGATATCTAGCTATTGAAAAGAGAGAGAGAGAGAGAGAGAGAGAGAAAGAGAGAGAGAGATCAAATATTGATTTTTCTGATAAATGCAATAATGAAAACTGAGAATAGTGGTTGATAAACCTCCAAAAGAAAAAAAAAAATCAATGAAAATAAATAAGAAACTTATTCGTACATGTATCTAATATCAAAATCATCATATCAATAGCATTGAAGGGTCATAATAAAAAAAATATATCATGTATAAGTACCCATAATTATTATAAACATCTTGAATTTCATTAATTGCTTGTTTGTTTAAAGTTGATCCCTTCAAACATTTTTCACTAAAATGAGACCCCTCCTGATTTGCCACTGTCCGCTGCCGATTTAAACCAGACTTGGGGGCCATAAAACTTAGACAAGCTCACTTATGATCTCAGTCTCACTTTTTCCAAAGGAATACATAATGGAAAATTAAGACTGCATGAAAATAATAGTGAGCTCTCTTAAGTTTTATGCCCTACCCCCTCCCCCCCCCCACCCCCGGCCTGTATTCAACACTTACATGAGCAACATGAGCAGTGAAGGAACTTTTTTGTGCTAGCCCCTACTGCAACACATTTAAGCCTAAAGGACCAATTTTCACATCCTTAATTGCTTAATTGTATAAATTAGAGATGTGAGCAAGATGACATCTTTTTATTATACGCATCAAATTATTATTCTACCTCTTTATAAATAGCACTCCTTATGTAACGCATACACTTAATTAAGGCCAAAAATTAATTTCTCCATGAAAAGTACAACCATAGACATTTAATTATAATACAGTCTTAAGTATAACATACTTATATATAAACATTGTGTAACACGTACAGTGACCTACTTTCAAGTTTATAAACAATGTGGCTCAAAGTTTCTTAATGTTCTCGAAGGAATAACCTTGTAAACAATTTAAAAGTTAAGTGTATCATAACATTGTGTTTTTTTAATGCATTATGAAATCTCTGTATTTGTATAATGATTTTCCTGTTAGCCAGTTTCATTTGACATGAAATTTAAACATCAAAGGTTAAGAGATTCGTAGTTCAATCATCTTTTTATTAATTGTAAAAATACCTGACTTGTATGTCTGTTGCTGTTCGACTAATTGTATCAGTTCTGGGAAGACTTAATATTTTTTAATCAAATTATTTTTGGTTTCAAATTTAGTATTTTATATTCATTAATTAAAAAGCTGTCAATTCATTAATACAGAGAATATATATTTTGCATTCAGACAGCACAACATAAAAATTCCTCCCTCACCCATTGCTTGAAAATCTACTATATATGAAAGGAAAAAATTATCTCACAAAGTTACAAGCACCTCAAAGACAGTACAATAAATCGGAAATAAAAAAATCAATGCAGTCTCTAATGTTCTGAAAATCCCATTCAAATGACCTGCCATTGCTACTTTACATTTTTGCGATCGGTCTGCTTGAAAAGTAGAAGAATAAATGGGACTTGTATCTAAGAATCTAGTCTAAATATTGTTACTGTTGAATAAAATACACATATTTTTGAGTGCTTCATGTAAATTACTCCCACATACATATTAAATTACTGCATTTACAGTAACTGAAAAAATAACAAACTGTTACGTGCACAGGATGACACCCATACCTTTTATTATCAGCAAGTAACACACTTCTTTGTCAGGTAGCTATATATATCATTTAATAGGTAGTGCTCAATATTTGAAAGTTAAATAACTATTGATATTTTTTCACACATGTAACCCATATTAAACTGTTAAATATGGCATATTGGTTCTTAACTCACTATCGCCACATAGAACAAATTTCTCTCAGTTTAGTGGTCTCTGCTGCAGTTTTTTCATTAAATGCAGAAAACAATTCCATTATATTTCAAACCATTTGTACAAAATCACACAATTCAGTAAATTCTTCCTAACTTCAACATCGTCATTGTCGTACAGGCAAAACTTCAACATTTTGAGTAAGAGGGGTTACTTTACAGTGAGGGTAGTTGGCTTGGGAATCAATGAAAATGTTTGGTGGAGAGTTGGGGTGGGGGTGGGGTGGTGGTGAATTAAGCCCCATAATAGCTCCTGAATATGTGCATGTCATGTGCACTCACTTTAATAGCTTTAAATATTTTGTACTGTACTTAAATAGGTCATCCTAACATAATTCAAAAGTATGTCAGACAGACAGACACAGAATGAACAGTGACAATTAAATGAGTGCATAGTGCCGTCTGCCAATCAAAGTATAAAAATCCTTTAAAAAGTTGATCAAAATGCACTGGGTTAACACAGCAAGAACTAGAGAAGATATTGCAGACTGGTAGAGATACCATAAAAATATACGAAAATGTGTTGGGTCATCATTTTCATGATTTTTATATCTAAAAATATTGTCGTAGTTACCACTACGATATTATACTAAATTAACTTTTTCTTTAAAATCAATGAACGAAGTAATCAATACATTTTAGTACATGATATTGAAAATTTTCAGCATAGAAATTGACATATAAACAGTAGATATTAATGTTACAAAAATAAAAACTGACAGTTCAGGATAAATGAATAATTGCAGGAATGCAAAACAGAAACTTATATTACCCCCCATCAGAGAAATCTGACAGATTGTCGGCCACAGGGGGGATAAACACAGCATCGTTGATTATTATTGTACATCTTTCATTCCTACAATAATATATGTACATGCATTGCAGTAACTGGTTAGTGGTAGTCATGAAAAGTAGTCATTTTAATAAAAATCAACAAATCTAACACAACTTTTTTCATATAAACCTAAATTCTGTTTCCTGATCAATGCGATTTCAAGTGCTCTTAAAAATTACATTAAAGTTTGAAATAAAAACTGCATCAAACAAATTACCTCATATATATTCCATTCACAAAAATCAAAAAAAAAAAATTCTTAATGAAAACCATTAATAATAAAACATGACAAAGCCTTTTGTTTAAGGAAATATCAAATTGTCATGGCAAGCAAGTGCAAGAGTACATTAAAAAATTTGATCATTACAACATTTTAATAACCAAATCATTAAAACACAAAAGAATTATTCAAGCAGGAATTGAGGGATAGGAGAACTCTCAGATCCTTCCCATGAAAAATGGTGACCTTGCACAAGTCTATATACAACACCTGAGCAATAAATATATCATAACCCAGAACCCAAAATAAACAATTACCTGGCGGGGTCTAGCCCGAGCATGAAGTTCAATGCGATCTCTGGCAGGTTCGACATGTGTCTAGCTTTGTTTACATTTCCTCTTTTCTCATTTCAGTGACTTCACAGGGTTTTTTGGGGGGGAAGAAAATGAAGAATGATTTGTCCCTTCACAAGGGTTAAACAACAAATTGAGAGAAAAGTGGAGAAAAAAATCTCTTCTCTCTATATTACGAGGTTTTTCCAGTCTTTCGACACTGACATTTGAGCAGACGTCGATACAAAAGTCTTCATATTTGATTACCTCCGTTTCAACAGTGGTCTGGATAAGAAAAGTATTCGTCGAGATCTTTGTTATCTTTGAGGCTTTTTTTAGGCAAACATTAAAGGGAGCAATATATCAATATGTATATTTTTTAACCATTCTTTGGAACAAAGGGGTTAAATAATGTCTGCACAAGACATATTTCAAACACATCAAAATATTGAATTTTTATATCCCCCTTTGCTACAAACTATTATATTCTTTCAGGTCGAATGCTGCTCTAAACTAACTTTCTGTACACAAAATTAAGGGGGAAAAATAAACACTAGGCACAATTTCCTTTTATTAGAAGTTTCACAAAAATTCCAAATTTATAGATCCTCCTTCCACACTTAAAGAATTCCAAGATCACATAAAAAGAAATTGCTATATGATTCCTCAAAATTTCTTCACACATGCAATTATCTTTCCAAAATCCACAACTAATATATTCCACTGAAGCGAAGGAAGAAAAAAATCACTACTTAAATCACTAGGCATCGAATAATTACAATTGTCAATGTATGACAAGGCCTCAAGACCAGAGTGAGACAGAAAACCAGAACAAAGGAATGAACTCAGTCAGCATGGCTGTGAAGAGTTTCACGTACTCTATCGGCTAACGCTAGGGCATTACCGTTCACCTCATATATACGTAACCCACTTTTTTTTTCTATTTCACCAGTGGATGATTACATGTAAAACTGACAGCCGGCACTTATTGTTCAGTTCATTGAACTTGGACACTTTAGTACATTATGTATAATATATAAATACAGGAACTCCTATCTGTGTCATGTCGATGCTCTCTGCTAAGCATTGTGTGACACATTGACACAGATTTCTATATTCTGACCAAGTGAATATTATCTATCGTCAGTCTGTGACGTTGAGCGTTCTATAAATATTTGTAAGTCATTGTTTACTCAAATAAGTTCTAGAACTACTAAAAATTAAAGTTTTTGTTTGAAAAAGGTCCGTAAAAAGAAAAAGCATACATTCTTTAATTATACAGATTTGATTGTCTTCTAAAATTAATATACTTTCTCTAAATCTCAGTTTTTGCTGAAATAATTCAAAATTGAATTTATATATTTATTTTGAAAATTCTGAAAGTTAATTTATAAAGGTTTACTAATTTTTTCTAAATATTTGCTTCCTTTTATATGTTGCACAAAATGTTACTAAAATAATTGTTCTTGACTTCAATTAATTGTATATACAAATTTATACCAAAATGTATTATAGTTTAACTTAAATATGCACGTCATAGTAAATTTTGTTAAACCATTTTGAATACACCATGCTGAAAATATATACGTCATTGACCAAATTAAGACAAACCAAAAACAAAATCAATTTTCATAAAATACACTCCTTTTCTTGCAAACAACTCTGGTAAATGTATATAGAACAATGACAATAGAAGTGTTTTTAAAAAACCGTACCTCTAAAGCACATACACAACATCACATGCAAATCCATGCATTTGCAATTGATTTAATCCAAAACAATTTAAAGACAATTGAATAGAAATGAATTACTAAACTTCATGAAAATTTAAGCAATTTAAAGATTCAGAAAATGAAGCTGACCTTGAAATATATGGATTAAAATAAACATTTTTGGAAAACTAATAATCCAATTTTATCTGCAAAATTATTTAATTTTTTTTAAATTATATACACTGAAAGATGTTTCATATTTGAATATGAAATAATTTAAAAATGAAATATTTGATCTTCATCATGTTTATATTGATTTAAACATCTGTGTATTTTCTTTAAAAAAAAATTAAATATAAAGGAATAAAAAAAAAAATGTTAATATTAAAATTCATTTTGCCTATATAAGTACTGTTAATAAATTTGGTGTAAAATTGCAAAATCGTTTAATGTTTTTTAAGATGCTAATTGGTTCTTATAATGTCAAAGTGTGGTTTAAATGGTAAGAATGACGAACACTTCATATCTTTAATATTATTAAATATTCTGGTATTTTATTAATAGAAGTCTTTTGATAATATTTATGATTCATATTAATTTCAAGAATTTCCATGCAGTGATCTCCAATATGATCTACATTCAAATGATTTTAAAATGACATAAGTACTTGACATTTTTATTAATAACATTAATCTGATCACAATATTGTCAATGTGATTAATAAATCTGATTTTTTAGAGTCAAACAGTATATTTCTGGTAAAAATAGATCTATCTTAAATAGGAAATATGAAATATGCTCCTCAAGAGAAATCCATTGTCATAAATAAATATTGTCATTGCCTTTATATCATTTTTTTTTACTCTTTAAATTCATAATTATTACTTAATCTAAACTAAAAGCAAACAAGTTTAAATTATGTGTGAACAAAATAAAAACAATTTACAATCAATATGAAGAATTCAAATTTTTGGAGTTTGACATTGCAATTCAGGGGGAATAACTCCAATTTTGCATGTGAGCACATTACTACTGACACACATTTTAAAAATAATTGCCCCTCTAAATGTGTGTGTAAACATGACAATAAAAGTGTAATGCAATATGATTCATCACTTAAGAATTTCTCCTTCAAGGCATTAACCTTTAAATTCAAACCCTGCAATATTGATATTGATGAATGGGCAGGAAATTCTCAAAACTCTTGATCCCCCTCCAAACATAATGCATTGAAAAAAGCCATGAATTTATAAACTACCAGAATGCAAAATTGGACTTCTTAATTTCCTTTCTTCCTGTACTGTAGTTGTATGAATCCAATAATTAACAATATCTTCATTGTTATAACCGATATTTATTTTTAAATCATACTCGTTAAAATGAGTAATTATGTATCATACTTTATTATAATATTGTAATCATTTCGACATATTAACATATATTTTAGGCTCTATATTTATTTTATAATGAATATTTTTTTGTTAAAGAATTCAAATAGATCTGTTATAAAATTTGAAGAACATGAAATAAAAAAAAAAAACCCATAAAAACGCATCAAATATCATAACACCCATATCACAGGTATACAATTTTTTCCCCTCTCCATATCATGTAAGGGGGAATTGTGATCTTTTCAATTTTCTCTTTTTAGTACATAAAACTGTGCATGACAAAAACACTTAATACAAGCAAGAAAAAATAATTTGTAAATGCCAGCTTTGAAAACCATAATAAACAACCCAAAATAACCTCCAACCCAAAAGTAGATAAAAATACCTGTCCTTGAACTTATCAAATATCCACCAGACAAAGACAGCAGACACAAGTTGCTATTTCATACCCAGGGCATGGCCTCATTTTCATTTCTGACAGAGTGGCTTTTAGAGGCCAGTGCGATATTACCCCCAAAAAACCTATACCCTTGAAAAGATCCATAATAAAAAACTCATTTCAAGTTTTATGAATTCCTATGTGTGCTCAATGAACTGGACAAATTAAGTGCAAAGCATTTTTCTGGCAAGTCATGTAACAGACAACCTTGTATTAAATGCAAACTGGCGTAGACTGAAGTCTCCAAACTTTCGATGTTTTTTGATATACTTTGCTGAAAGCTGTGTTTTCAAACACTATAAAGTAGAATTTGACATAAACTTTTATTTTTATTAAAATTAATATATTTTTTCATACTTAAAAAATTGTAATCAATTCAAGATAATTGTCCAGTTTTTCAAAGATAAAATACAACAGCTTATTTTTTTTCTTAAAAAATCATTCCATTTCTTTTTTAGTCACTGAATTTAAATACTGTAATAATTAGCAGTTGTAAATATTTATAACATCCAATCCAAAGACAAACATCATATACCACAGAAATTCAAGGCATTAGCAGATAATAATGGCCAAAAAAAAGAGACTATGGCAATATATCTAAGAAAAGAGATCAACAGAAGCAACAGAAAATCTGTGGATCAATGCTGCCAGGAAATTAGATCTTCGTTAGTTAAAATTACGGCACAAGCCCTTTAAATTCACAAAGGCTGACATGACATTGCTCCTAAGAGTCACTTCCCTAGAGCTTATAAAATGTGCCAAATGTGGGGCCTTCCTGTTAAACATTTTGATGACACAGACAATTTTTTTTTTTTTGTAGGAGTGATGCAAAATGTTAAATCGAGCTTAATGATTTTTCTTCCTCTCTTTAAAAAGTGTTCCATGTTTGGGAACCTCAAATAATTTTTCTCTTTGTGCTTCAAATTTCTTTAATTTTCTCTAAAAATAGTAACATGTAATCATTTGTTCTTTTACAATCATTATAACTTTACAATGTATCTGGATCTAGGTCAGGAGAGGAATTATTGGATTTCTTTTTTTCAAGTATGCTGGGATAAAAGCAATTTACATTCAAACCCTTACAGCTGTCAATCAATAGCAATAGATTCCTTATCAAGATTTCCAGTCAAACACACTTCACAATATCAACAACAAAAATCAAACTTTGGTATATTTTTATGAGAAATTATTTGTGACAACACATTTTCCAAAAACATATAAGACATCTAAGTGCCCTAATGAATATTAAACATTATTTTTGAAAAGTCTTTTAATCAGTCATTTCTGTGATGAAGTTCACTTACATGAATTTTTATTTTCATTCCTAAGTGAGTAAAATGTTAGGTCTCGATCTGTTGATTAATTCCAAGATAATTCATCACAAAGAAATTAATGCCTGGATTTTGTAGACAATTTAAAACTTAATTAAACCTGTATAAGAAATAAAACAAAATGGACATGTCATTGAGTCTATAGCTAAATCGACCTTTTTCAATTCCTTTTATCATAACACTTATTGTCCCCCCTCCTCTCTATCACTAGTTTTTGAGACCTTTTTAATTTCAACTTGATAATGAATGTGGCTGAATGATTGAGATATATAATAAAACTAAAAGTTTAATGTGTTTTTCCCCTCTCTTGATAAAGCATGGTAAAGTGACATAAAAACCTAATATTGCTAATAAATCCTGTGAAATTAAGGCAATCAGCCTCCAGCATATAATAATCGAATTAACATTACGCCTGCTCTATATAACAACGAGTAATTACACCAGGAGAGAGAATAAAGGAAACAAAGCAACGCGGTAGTGCCCATGTAAATCCTATAGTTTTCCCCTTTATCACCTGTCAATGCTTTCATAATCAGCAAATCAAACAAAATATATCCGAGAGACTGTTGCCAATCAATATTTGATCTCAGTGTCTAGGTCATATCTAATAAAT